TCCCTCCCTCCCTCCCTCCCTCCCTCTCTCCTTCTTCCACTTGGTCTTCCTCTTACTCTCTGGGTCTCCTATAGCCCAGGATGGACTCTTCAAACCTACAATGTAGCCCAAGGGTAGCCTTGAACTTCGGGGCCTCTTCTCCCTCTGCCTCCCTAGTGCTCTGCTGAGTTTCCAAGTGTGTTCCATTATGCCCAATTTATGCCGTCCTGATGGAGCCCAGAGCTGCTTTGTGCATGCTGGGCAAACATTCTACAACAGAGTTCCATCCTTAGTCCCCACATCTCTCCTCTTAACCATGATGAAATCATCCAGGCAGAGGTTCATCGACTGCTGCAGCCTCCACCCCCACCCCCACCCCCACTCCCGCCCCCACAGAGGCGCAAGTGAAAATATCTGCCTGAGGTCGAGCACCTGTACACGCCACAGCCGTGAATCCCACAGGCCTTTTGCTCTCGCTGGCTTAGTCTGTCGCCTGTCTCCATGGGGCCCATAGGAAATGCCCAGTAAACATCTGTGTCAAATGAGTAATTTTGCTTCTGTCCTTCCAGGCTTCAGCCGTCCCTCTCTGGCTGAAGTGAAGGGCTTTGTCACTGTGACTGTGAGTTACGGCCCTCTCCCTTCATACCCTGAGGTGACCTCTGTCCGCTGCAGGAGCCTGAGCAGGAGTGATCCTGCTGTGTTGTGAAGTAGCATCTCCTTACTGACCGGCTTCCTTGGTGTGGCCCATGGGAATTTTCCCATCCCCGGCCCTTCTGGGCTGCCCTCTCCCAGGGCGAGATTCCAGTCCCTGGGTTCCCATGAGCCCTGGGCTCTTCAGCTCCAGTGTCTGACAATAGCTAAGATGCCTGGTGCATGGGCAGGGCTCCGTGGCCCTAACGATGCGTAACAGCAGCCCAGTAGTGATGGGGGGGGGGGTGTGGGCAGAGGGTTGCAGCCAAGCCTCTGGTCTTAACCTTCAAGCCGCTCTCCTATAAGAAGTGCTGACCCTGCCCAGGCTCCTCTCCATGCTCCGTCCCTCCCCCCACCTCCCCATACACCCACACTCACACCCACACCCACCTCCCCAGACTCACTTCTCTTTTGCAGCTACCCTGACGCCTACACCTTCCTGCTGTGGAGTTGCTGGCCCATAGGCAAGGGGATGGAGAGGCAACAGGCCAGAACCCCCGAGAGAGAGGCTGACTGGTTAGGGTTCTGTGTGGGTCCTCAGGATCTCCTGTGGCCAGCTTTGATTCCCTTACCATCAGCTCTGCACCATCCGCTGCCCTGGACTAGAACACCAGCCTCCTTGCCTCTCCATCCAGTCTCTGGATGTAGCCAAAGGGCCCCTCTGAATCAAGACAGTGAGATGCACACTCCAACAGGACCCCATGTCTCCCCACTGCCGGGCCTTGTTTCCAGCTGGACCCCGTCCATCTGTAGCAATGGTGCACATGTCCCAGCACCCAGCATTGGCCAGTCTGTCCCCCAGTCTGTCCAGCCCTTCGCTGTCACGGGCCTCCCCCCTGCCATTTCCTGCAGGGCATGTTTCCCTCCCCTTAAAGATGCTAAGGACATCCCTCAGCCCCTAGCCTAAGCGGGGCCCACCGTGAGGCCCACCAGGGGACTCCAGGCCCGAGCTCCTAGCTGGGAGCTCCCTCAGGTGCTCTTCAGCCCATGACCCCTGGAGAGGGGGCTGCATGTGTCACAAGACCCAGAGAGCTGGTTTGTGTGATTGACAGGGTTTAAGCGATGCTGGTGGGAGACTAATACTGGGAACCAGAGCCTGATACAGCAGGGCCATGGACAAGGCACGACCAAGCAGGGTCACAAGCAAGGGGGTCACAAGCAGGGTCGCAGCTCCCGGAAAGGAACTACAGGGAAAAAAACAGGTCCCTGGATAATCTGCAGATCCTGCCTAGGCTCTGCTTGCTTCCAGCCAGCTTAGCTCCCCAGCATGTTGCTGTCAGAGTCCAAGCTTCCTGCCCTCCTCCCCCAAGTCTCCCCATTTATGCTCCTGGGCTTTTGCTACTACTCCACCCCACCACGGGCCCCTGGACGTCACCTCTCTATCAACGCCATGTCATTTTCTTACATTTTCCCCATCATTTTTGGTGGTGACCTGTGCCGGTGGCCCCCAGGCCAGGCCTGGCATCTACCCACTCCCACGGAGCTCGGAGTAACTGGCTACCTGTCCCCACTACTCGCAACGGGGATGGGGAGGCGGGCAGGGCTGGGCAGAGGACAGGAATATGGAGGACAAGAGGGTAGCGAGACTAGGAAGTCTTTTAGGCTATCCGTGTCCTCCGTCACCACTGTGGGCATTCAATGTCTTGACCCTAGGAAGGGCAGAAGAGGAAGGAACTGGGGGGGGATGGCTAGTGGGAGCAACCGGTCTTGGTGAGGCACAGCAGAGGCCACAGGAGGCTGAGGGAGGTAGGTGACTGCTGGGTCCATCCCCTCTGCTGTCCAAGAGCAGGCTGTAGTTTGACATGCCCCCCCCCCCGCCCCCGCTCCAGCCCCCGGCGCTGGCAATGCTCAGCTGTCGTCTGCGGTGACAGATGAGTGGTTTAATACAGGAACCACAGGTGAAAGAGGTCTGAGGTTCCAGGCGAGGTTGCGGCTCCACCCCAGCGGTCCCACCCCAGCAGGCAAGGGCGGGGCCGAGGATGCGCGTCCCGTCCGGGTTTCATTCTAGACTAGAGGGGCACAGAGCCCAGACTCAACTCTCTCCCACCTGCACGCGGTGGCGACATGGACGCCAGGAAGCGCCGGACCAGAAGCCGGAGAAACCGGGACAGCCCGGTGCCCACCCCATGCGTTCAGACACTGTGCTTCGACCCTCTGGTGCGACACTGCGTGGCCTGTGAGCTCCTCCGCACGCCGGACCCTCCTCGGCACGGTAAGCAAGGCCACGGTGACAGGCGGGACCCGGCCCAAGGTCCCCAGCCCGGCAGGGCCACGTGCCCCCGCTGCTGATCCTGGGGCCAGCGCTCCCCCATGGCCCTCACCGCCCGTCTCTCTCTGTCCCTGCCCCCCGCCCAGCCTTCGGTCCCTCCGTCCCCCGCCCTCCATCCGCATCCCCTTCGCCATCAGCGCCCGGGACAGCGCTGCAGCCGCAGGAGTCGGTGGGCATGGGGCCGGGGACTGACGCGACGCTGCCGCTGCCCGGGCTCCTCTTCGGCGCCCCCGCGCTCCTGGGACTGGTGCTGCTGGTGCTGCTGGTGGCCCTGGTGACCTGGAGGTGGTGGCAGCAGCGCAGGATGGCCTCCCCGGACATCCCAGACGGAGTCCAGGAAGGTGAGAACCGTGTCTGGGGGAGCGCAATGGCGGCTGGGAGTGGGGCGCACAACTCTGGGTGATTAGGGGAGGTCCAGGACCAGGACCCAGGACTGAGGGGGTCTTGAAGAGTCAGCTCTGAGGCTGTCAAGTGCGCAAGGAGGACGACTCCTCTCAAGCCTTAATCCAAGAAAGGACTCAGAGCCCAGGACAGATGTTTGGGGATGAAAGCTCCCTTTGGGAGCCCGAGGGGCCTGGTCCTATGTTATGTCCAATAGACTGGCCAGACACCCCTCTCCCCCTGTCAGCATCCCCCACCCCTTCATTTTTTCAAGTCTCTGGACTCAGCACTTCCTGTCCTGAAGACTTGTCATGTGCTGTTCCACTTCCTCCACTGAGGGCTGTTCCAGAGGAGGCTTCTAGAACAGGCAGGGAGGCTATGATTCAATCCTAACCTGCCTTACCTGGTCCCTCACCTACCCCAGAGTCCCTGGACAATGTCTACGTGTCCTCCCCAGAAACCCTTCACGCCTCCGCTCCCGTCTGGCCTACCCCCAAAGAAGATGCAGACACCACCCTGCCAGGCCATAGCATCCCAGTGCCAGCCACGGAACTGGGCTCCACTGAGCTGGTGACCACCAAGACAGCCGGCCCTGAAGAATAGCAGCTGTGGAGGGAACTGAGGGAGCCCTATGGAGTTTTTGGACTCTCACCCGAGGGCTTGGAAAAGGAGTTCAGCTCTTCAGGGACGGAGCCCATTGCCCAGAGGGAACCCAGCAGAACCACAGACACTACAGGCCCCAGGCTCCCACCAGCATGAGACTGTTTTTGTGCTAGCCTTTGGCTCGAGAACATTCCATTTTTGAGGTTGTTTTTAAGCTCTTGTGCCTTCAGTGGTTGGGTAGGCTTGAGTGTTGGATGTTAATCTCTTCGAAGAGGCAGAGACTGGACACTTGATCTCTTTCTACAAAATCTGCGTGGTGGACTGGAGAAATGGCCCAGCAGTTAGGTTCATGAACTGTTCTTGTAGAGGACTCCAGTTGTTCAGTTTCCCAGCATAAATGTCTGGCAGCTCACAACCATCTGTAACTTCAGTCTTAGAGAGATCCAAAGCCTCCAAAGGTACCAACCTCATTCGCTTGCACACACACACACACACACACACACACACCACACACACACACACACACACACACCACACACACACACACACACACACACACACCACACACACACACACACACACAGTTTAAAATGTTAAAAACAGGGACTGGAAAGATGGCTCAGTGGTTAGGAGTGCTTACTGCTGTTCCAGAGGACCAGAGTTTAATTCCCAGCATGCACTTCAGGTGACTCATTACTGACTTTAACTCTTGCTTCCGGGGATCAGATGCCTGGACTCCATGGGCATCTTCATTCCCATGTACAGACCCCCACACACTTACAAATTACAAAATACAGGTTGGATGTGGTGGCGCACGCCTTTAATCCTAGCACTGAGGAGGAGGCAGAGGCAGGCGGATCTCTGTGAGTTGGAGACCAGCCTGGTCTACAGAACAAGTTCCAGGCTAGCCAGAGCTATATAGTTGAGATCAAGTCTCAAAATAATAGTAATAAAATTTTTTTTTTTTTTTTTTTTTTTTTTTGGTTTTTCGAGACAGGGTTTCTCTGTGTAGCTTTGCGCCTTTCCTGGAACTCACTTGGTAGCCCAGGCTGGCCTCGAACTCACAGAGATCCGCCTGGCTCTGCCTCCCGAGTGCTGGGATTAAAGGCGTGCGCCACCACCGCCCGGCTTCTATAAAAATTTTTTTAAATTTTGATTTTTTCCCTGTAATTATTATTATTTTTAGATAATTAATCTCACTCTGGTGTTTAAAAGTGGTATGCTTGGAAGGTCAGGGAAAGTCACCAGGACGAAGCAGTAAGTAGCACCAAGCGCCCCTTCTCTCTGGCCCTGTGATTACTGTGCCCACTCTGGGCTCTGCCAGCAAGAGGGCTATCATCAGATGTGGGCCCTTGAACCTTCAGGACTGTGAGCTAAGTCAACCTTATTTCTTTGTAAATTTATTTAGCCTTAGCGTTTTGTTACAAGACTATAAGACAGACTGACACAGGCACTGTGAGCAAGAGCCTTTCCTTGTAGCAGGGAAGGTGCCATTACGCCAGAATTAATCTGAATAAAGGCCGGCGGGAAGATGCTCAGCCTGTATCTGGGTGTTTCTCCGTCTCTTGCTTTGAGAGCTCTCCTGCTTTGACGCTGATGCAGGGGACTGGCAACGAGCTGATGGTTTGATTTGGGTATTTAGTGCAAGGTTCTCTGGAATTTTCATTTTTCATAGCACTGGGGACCAGGCCCATGCTAAACAAGTGGTCTACACCGAGCTACATCTCAACCGTCAGGTCCATTTTTAGAAATAACCTGGGAGTTGGGGGAAATGACTGGTCTGAGCTGTCCTGAGTCTCAGGTGTCAGCAACCCAGGAATAACCGTGGATTTCTTTGGCTCCGTCTGCTGGGACAGAAGATGCCATCTTCACCCCAGTGGCAATTTCTAGAGCCATAGGAAGAAATCTGTAGTCTCAGGCTGGAGTCTAAACTCCAGCTGAAGGGACATCACGGTGGTATTCTCCCCCAGAGGGCACCTGGGGCCCAGTGCACCCCAGTGGCAATTTCTAGAGCCATAGGAAGAAATCTGTAGTCTCAGGCTGGAGTCTAAACTCCAGCTGAAGGGACATCACGGTGGTATTCTCCCCCAGAGGGCACCTGGGGCCCAGTGTCCCCAGGGCACAGCCCGCTTGGCCGCACATAGGGCCGTGGCCTATAGGACTCCTTCATAGAGAGGCCGGGGCAGCCCATTGGCTCTGAAGCAGGCTGAGCTGAGGTCCTTTGTGTTCCCTCTGTGGACCGTTCACCCCTTGAACTGGGCTTTCTTGGTCAAAGCTTGTGCTAACCCCAGGCTCGACATCACCCCCATGGAACCTGTTCCCTGACAGTGTGCTCTTCGCTCTGAAGCTACACATCCTCTCTATCCAATTCCGGGGCACCCTGCACTCATGGGCAGCCATCTGTCTCCTGCCTGCCCTCCTCATGGTGAAGCTTGTGGGAACTTGTCGCCGCTTAGCCTCTGCTGGGAGGAGCACTGGCCCGGGAGTCAGAAATGGAATCCCTCTGTGTTGGCTGAGCTCTGTTCCTGCCTGCCAGTCTCTCTGTCTAGAAAACAGTAGCTAGTGGGTGGCGTTTAGAGCCTCCAGGACCTGGACATCCATTTCCAAGATGCCCCTCTCTCCAGGGGGCTAGGTGAGTAGGATGAGGTTGGATGGCAAACAGTGAGTGACAGGTGTCAGTCAAACCCTTGCTGTCCACTCTAGCCTGGGGCTGGAAAAGTCTGAGCTGTCCCCGGCCACCTGTATCAGCTGTAGCGGGGGGACCTAGGTTCTGGAGGTAAAAAGGACTATGAAACCCCTGTGGGGCCACGGCATGCAAACCTTTGGCCCCTCTTCATCCCAGCTAAGCCTCTGGCTGGTACACGGTCTCCCCTCAACCTGTTTCTTTTGAAGAAAATGGGGGGATGGATAAAGTTCTCTTCCTGGTCTCTGGCCCCTAAAGGAGAAGGGCTGAAGGAAGCTGAGAGAAGTCTCACACATCCCCATTTCACAGATGAGGAAAGCGAGGCCTACATAGGGAGAGAACCTGCCCTCGCCATCATAATCAAACAAAAAGGAATCTCTTGCCAGGAAAAGCAAGTGGAGGGTACGAGGAGTAGGGACACTGTCCCCTCCCCCAAGGGCAGGCAGTGAAATCAGCACCTTCCCGTTGGCCGTTGGCCATAGGTGTTGCTTTCTGGGGAAAGAAACCCTAACCCTAACCCTTCCATTCTGCACTTTGTTTTCATTAACAACACCTGGAAGGAGAAGGGATTCCTGTTTGGTTTTAAAAAGTATTAAAAATAAGCCAGGCACTTGGGAGGCAGAGGCAGGCGGATCTCTGTGTGTTCGAAGCCCGCCTGGTCTACTAAGCAAATCCCAAGACAGCCAGGGCTGTTACACAGAGTGGTGTGTGGGGGGAGGAACGGAGGAATCGAGATACTCCCTTTGCATGTGAGCTGGAAAGTACATTGTGATAATGCAGAGTGGAGGCTGCTGGGAAGAGCTGACCATGGCCCAAAGAGCTGGCTTCTGTGTGTGCCGTGTGCGTGGTTCACCGCCATAATCATTGCAGTCTTAAAAGTTCCCCATCTTGGGTCAAGATGGCTCACCGGGTCAGGGCGCTGGCTGCCAAGCCTGGCAACCTGAGTTTGATCCTGGAGCCCACGTGGCGGAAGGGGAGGGCTGACTCCCACAAGTTGCCCCCCGCCCTCTGCAAGTGTGTACTGTCCCCCCATACCTTTCCCTTTAAGTTCCATCCCGATCGTCACACACAGCAGGGTCTGTCTTTAAATACTCCCAGTTGGGTTTTTCAACAGTTGTCAAGTTTTCCATGAAGCATCTGGTCCTTTGCAGGCTCTGCAGGCGTCTCGGGCCCAGACCAAGTGCCTCCTTCTGCAAAAACCTCTGCGTGGTCTCTGTTTCCAGAAGGACCGCAGTGACAATGGCCTTGGCCTTTCTTTTTTCTTTCTTTTTCTTTTTTTGGTTTTTCGAGACAGGGTTTCTCTGTGTCGAAACCCTGGTGCCTGTCCTGGATCTCGCACTGTAGCCCAGGCTGGCCTTGAACTCACAGAGATCCACCTGGCTCTACCTCCTGAGTGCTGGGATCAAAGGCGTGTGCCACCACCCCAGGCTTGACCTTTCTAATGACCTCTGTGGGTGACGCCCCTTTCCTGATGGCTAGGACAAGATTTCATATCTGCAAGCGTGATTATGTGATTCCGAGACACAAATCACAACCAGCGAAGGGGCTGAGTTTTATTGGGGTTCCTGCCCCTACCTGGTCTGCCTACCCAACAGGGGGTCACCTACCCAAGCTAGGTTCTTGGGAGTGGCTGGACCCCACGTCTTGTTTTCATCACTACTCCAAGACCTGTCTTTGGCGTTAGTTTTGGCCCAAGGTAGATTCTGGAAGACACACTGGATGAAGTGGGGACAGAGGGAGACAGCCCGACACCCCCTAGCCTGCTTCTGTCTGGGGTTTCCTTTGGAGGGTCTGGTTTCCCCAAGGTCCCCAGGGACTAACAGGTGGGGGCAGAGGGCAGAAGTCTCAGTTCCTCTTGGTGTTTCCTGCAGGCTGTTTTCACTTCCTGCCTGGCAGCTCCGGGCCTGGGTGCTCAAAGTGGAGGTGGGGACCCACTAGCGAAGCCAGATAAGAAGGCCTGCTGACCATCCCCCCCACCCCCGCCCCCAACCTCCTCTTCGTCAGCAGAGATGAACAGACAGGACCGTCCTTAGAAAGTTGGTCTGCCTGTCGTCCCTGCCTCCGCGATGGGAGAACTCTATCTGCGCAGCTCAGGAAGTCAGCGACAGACCACCAGCCGCAGCCTAGGGGGTCGGAATAGAGGGGCGGGGCGGGGCCTGGGGCGGGGTCAAGGAGAGGCGGGGTTGCAGGAAAGGGGTGTGACCAGAGGCCAAGCCAAGGGGTGGGGTCAAGGGCGGAGACTGATAAAGGGCAGGTCGGGTCTGAGGCAACTGGACCTTCTTGTTTTGTTTTAAGACGCGGTCTCCAGTAGTCCAGGCTAGCCTCAAACTCGCTGCGTGGTGGAGAATGGCCCTGAACTCCTGATCTGGTCAACCCCTTTACAAATGATGATGTTCGCTGCCGCGCCAAGCTTTTTTTTTTTTTCTTTTCGTGCTGCTGAAGATGGAATCCCTTGAGCTCACCAGGCTAGCTCCCTGCCGCTAAGTACAAACCCCTACTCCCCTCTCGCTCTCTCCACGAGGGGTCCCTGTCTCCAGGCGCTTCCAGAGAACTGCGCTTCCGGAGCACACACACTAGGACGTGGTACAAATGACAGGAATCAGGACACCCCCACATGCTACTTTCTGAGCTTGACTCGGTAGAGTTGCCCCCCTGGGCGTGGGCTTCCTGGGCTGGAAGGACTTTCCTGACCCCGTGGCCGCACTGTCTAGTCGCCATCCAGCCCCGTCCTCACCAGCTCTGGTCTCTGGAGGCTCCTGAAGGACACTAATCAGAAGGGTGCAAGCACAGGGAGGTTACCTGAGCCTCCCAGGCAGGAGAAGGCAGAGGCCAGGATACAGTGCATAAATATTGGGGCAGGCAGGCTGAGTTTCAGAGCCCAGCTCCCCCACCCCCCACCCCAATCCTGCTGCTCCCTTGAGACCTCAGGAGCCCGATCGCCCCCTCCCTCCCACAGGCAGCTGGAGCCTGAGTCACGAGCTGCCTCTCAGGAGACAAAGGCAGCCCAGGGCCCTCCCTCCAGACCCCCTCCTGGTGTCAGCATCTGTACTAGCAGGGAGTCTAACATCCCTAGAACCTCTGGGGGAAATGGAAGAACTTAGGCGCTGCCTTCTGACTTGAGTGGCAGCTGATGTCACATCGCTATCTTCTGCAGGGCCACCCCCAGGTGGCTGCCCATATTAGGTGTTTCCAGGCCTTTTCGCGCCTCCTGGTAGAGGGATGGATGGGTCCACCTAGAGCGGGAACTGTAACCTAGTCAAGCATCGCTCCACAATGAACAGAAACACCATCACAAGAACAGCCATCCTGGGGAGGCCTTCTGCACTGGCTGGCGATGTGCGGGTCAGGGGAAGAAATGCTTCCCTGGGACACTGAGGGCTTCTAGCCGCCGCCATATACTGAGCTGGCCCACGGCAGGCTCCGGGCTTGCAGGACGGCTCCAGGTCAGCCCCTGGCTTCTCCTGGCTTTGTGCCAGCAAGTCACTTCCTCTCCCCTGTTCTTAGGTTTCTGTCTAGTAAATTCCAAACCTTCCTGTCCACCGCCGCCGCCGCACAGAGTGGAAGACGGGTCACCTAACATCTCAGATGGGGACACTGGGGCCCAACACAAGCTTTTGCTGATGCCCACAGAATGTCGGGCTCCCACAGCCAGTCAGGCGGTGAAATGCCCATGTAAACCCACAGTGCAGGGAAGTCCCTGAGAGTCACCCTTGCCCCTGACATGCCCCCTCTCTCTCTCACACACACACATCCAGGAGCACACCCCGCCTGCACACTTACACTCAGCTGCCAGCCCTGGGAGCTGGGGGGGGGCGGGGCGGGTGCCCTTCAGGCAGACACTCGGCTCTTCTTGCCCGCCCCGTGGGGCTCACTGCAGATGCCAGAGGTTATTTTAAGCCTGGATCAATGGACGATTTTTTGGTGACACAGGCTTGGGAGGGGAAAGACAGGGGGCGGGTGCCCCAGAGCCTTGCTGTGATCAGAGACCCTGGGGTCCGGGATAAAGAGGTCTGTCTGTCCTTCACTGAACTGCATTATCCTTAGAACTGGTAGCTCTGCCCGTGGCCGTGTTCCTGAAGTGGGGTGTCAGCTGCATGGACAGTCAGACCCCAGAACACAGACCAGCTGTGTCTTGTATCTCTCTCCCGCTGCCCCTCACCCCAAGAGCACGTGTCCATACAGACAGGCATTGAGTGTTTGGCACAGACCTTGTAGTTGATGGCCTTTGCGGTTGTTGACTGACCATAGAATCCATAGAGTCGGGCTAAGATTGGGGAGAGAGCTGGGGATGGGGTGAGGTTTGGACATCGGTCCCTGTGTAGGATGGGGAACTGGAATCAGTTCCTTTGCTGGCCCGACAGAATCGCTCTACACTACAGGTATTTGCTGGTCCTGAGGAGTCAATATGAGGTCAAGCGCTGAGCAAACACCAGCACAATAGGCTAAGAGAGGGCCCCAGAAGAGGAGGAACAAGGGCAGACTCCACCTAGGAAGACAGCACAGTCCCAGAGCGCTGCTCAGAAATGGGGTTGGAGAGAGAGCACCCTCAGAGCCCCTGCAGCCCCAAGGTCAGCTCGGCAGGGTGACAGGAACCTAAGTACACAGCACAGTTGGTGGCGTTTGCCCCATCTTTAGGAAAGCCAGGGAAGGGAGCAGGAAAAAGGATGCATCAGAAAGCACAGCTCCTAAGTTCCGAACGAACAGAGCAACAAAAACCCGAACTAAAAACCAGTCCCAACAGAGGTGGTGATGTGCGTGCGATCCGCTTTTGGCGATGGGATTAAAGCTCGTCATGTCCCTGCCCATCTTGCCCCCCCACCTTCTAAATGACAATGTAGAAAGTCTTTATGGGGCTGGGGGGAGGGGGGTCTGGCTGGAAATCACATGGGTATGTGTGCATGTGTATGGGGAGGGGACTGGTCATTTTTAGCTAGGGGTAAATGGAGCTGGCCTGACAGGCACGGGGCGGGTGGTCGCCCCCCTTCCTGCTTTAACCCACTAATAGCCTGCCAGCCCCTCATCTCTCCCAGCAGAAGGACGCGATCCTCCTTAAGATGTAAATCCTTCCTCTTCCTCCGCTATACTCGCCATTTTCATAAGCTGATTCCAGGCTCCAAAGAGGGAGGGAGAGAAGGGAGGAGGAAAGCCCCTAGGGTGGGTGAATTCTTCATCATACAGGAGTTAGAAGCAAGGGTCTCACTCTTTCAGCAGATATTGACAGGCACCCGCCTGTGCTGGGACAGAGGGACACTGGGGTGAATTGGAAACCTAGTCCTTGTCCTCCTGGTGTCCCCATCTGGACATCGAGAAGTGGCCTGATAATCTCTTCCTCCTGGAAGGAATGGATTGTGAATCCTGCCCTTCAGGAAAAGGTCTTGATTTATTTCACTGTTTTGTTTGTTTGTTTGTTTGGTTGGTTGGTTGGTTTTGGTTTTGAGATAAGGTCTCCTATGGTTCAGGCTCCCTTGTTTTGTTTTGGTTTTGGTTTTTCAAGACAGGGTTTCTCTGTGTAGTCTTGGCTATCCTAGAACTCACTCTGTAGACCAGGCTGTCTTGAAACTCAGAGATCTGCCTGCCTAGGCCTCTGGCCAGCCGAGTGCTGGGATTAAAGGTGTGTGCCACCAGTGCCCAGCTCGGTCTTGAACTCCTAAACCTACAGGTATGTGCCACCAAACCCAAATTGCTAGCTTTCTTTCCTTCCTTCTTTCTTTTCTTGAGGCAGGGTTTTCCAGTAAAGACTGGAACTCACCATGTAGACCAATTCAGCCTCAAGCAACACCCCTGCTTCATCAGTGAGCGGTGTGACACTATTTTGTTCTGTTTGCATTTTGAGACAGGGTAGCCCAGGATGTTCAAAGTCGTGGGTCCAAGTGGTCTACCCACTTCAGCCTCCCGAGTCTACAGAACTGCTTCATCATTGCAGGTACCAGGAAAACCTTTTGATTTTACCAGTAACCACTGAAGCAGGGAGAAGCAAGGCCCAGCATCGGGGTCACATTCCCCTTAAAAACTCAACAGGGGTTGGAGGGGGTGGGCGAAGATTGGGTCCTGCCCTGACATTCTTTCCCTCAGCTTGTGAAAGGACCTGGGAGTGGGAGACCAAGGACGTACAGGAGAGTGCGACTGACCTGGTCCTCAGGACTTGGTCAGCCTTCTAAGGCAGAGACTGGGGAGGGGAGCAGACCACTGAGGGCTCTGGCCTGGCTGTGCCCAGAACTGGGATATCCCAGGACCCCAGCCAAAAGTCTCTAGGTTTTGGTAGCAGGGCGCATGCTCTGGGGCAGACCAGCGAGGGGTTGATCCAAGTTTGCCTCTTCACCATTTTTGTGCTGGGGGTCCTGTATTGTAGAAGGAATTCACACGATCAGAATAGATAGAAGGAAGGAACGTTGGGACGTGGGGGGGGGGGGCGGTGATGCGGTGATGGTGCCGACCCTTCCTGGCCTATTCCAGGCTGCTTTGATCTCTATGCCTCTGTCCCCTTACTTAAAAAGAAGGGAACCTCTCATCCAAGGCCAGATCCGACTCCCCAGAGCCCTAAGATGAGCCCCCTCGAGGGTCCATTTCAGACAATTTGAGGGAGGCCTTGGAGAGGGTCCCTGGTGGGGCGCGCCCGCAGCGCTGGCCCTACAGAAGCCCTCCCTCCCGGCGCAGCGGCCGCGCTCCTCCCCCGGTTCTGCCTCCCTCCCGCCCTCCTCCCCTCGCTCCCTCTCCCGCCCTTCCGAGCCCGCGCCGAGCCCGCGCCAGAGCCGGAGCCAGAGCGCGGGCAGCGCGGAGCGGGCGGCGGGAAGGTAGCGGTGTCCGGCGAC